GTCATTCTGGGTTGTAAGAATAATTATGGTCCTCCTATCAACGTTCGCTCATATTCTTGGGTCAAGATCATCTGTCACAAGACTGGCCTTATATATTGTCCTGCTTCTGAAAACTGTGTATTTATCTTGAGCATAAGAATCAATCTGCACTTCCACCTGATGTTGATTCTCAGCTCATCGCATAAGTCAAGGCCCTATTAGGATTGACTCGTAGTATCCCTGTTCTCTAAAAACAAAACCTGAGTTCATGTTAGGCCTGAGTGTTCAGCTACAGGTTCAGGACTTTGGTGACTAAAACAGTTGACTCTTGCCTGTTGGAATGTCTAATTAGCATCTGTTTTTAACATACCTTTGGCCATGATTATGTCTCCACATTCCTCTATATTAAATTCTTCCAGCTCGTAAGCTCACCTCAGTTGATTTCTGTAGCATCATTATTTCAGGGGGCACTTCCAATCCTCGGTCACAGTTTTTACCACAATCTGCCCTGTTAATCAGACTCCTGTATGACCAATTTAAAAATATAATTAATGGAGTTAAATCCTTCTCAAAAATATTTGCAAGATCAGGTACTTTATCACTCTTCTAATCTCCCAATATTGCTCCCGTTGATTTTTCATTCACGCTATTTCGTTTGATGTGCCAGAAGTAGCTCAACACATTTGTCCTGATGATAATGAAAAGATATTCTGCTCATATTATCCTTAGTGAATTGAGAGATCATAATATTACTTTGTAAAATGAAGAACACAATGATGGCTGAGCATATTTGCTACTTGCTAGTTTGCTTGCCTGCCAATAAGCCAGTGTGTGCATTGCAAAGCTACTTTCATCAGAATAACTGTTGTTCATTGAGTCAGACTTTTTTTACCTAAAATACTATTGAGATATAAATATTTTTGTAAGCCAGAATTAACTCCTTTGGCCTATTAAGGAGTTTAGCAGTGTTTAGCAAACTGTTTCACCAACTGCAAAAAAGAATCCTTTTGCACTCGAACATTCAAACTGGTGTGTAATGATCAGGAAACTCAGTAAAACATGAGCTAAGGATCAGAATATAAAGACTCCTACCACAATGTATGGAAATTTTAGTTTAGAAAAAGAAGCTAAAAATAAACTTGAATGTAATCAAGAGAATCAAAGCAAGAGTTTATAATGGTGCTTTTTTAAATAAGAAAGCCACAATCCTTTGTTCTTATCTATAATGAGTTGGAATGGTAAAGGCAGCCAAACCTGCAAAAAAAAATACTTCAGAGAGGTAACTAAGAATATTAACCTGAATATAAAATTGTTTTTGAGATTTTACTCTAGAGCCTGACATATAAAAAATAAATTAGAAAGATTCTGAATTCCTGACAGAAATCAGACTGCATATCCCTAATATTCTTTTCCTTATCAGTAAACATACATTTTGTATAGGAATTTGGTTCATCAGAGCTCAGAGTACCCAACACAGAAGGGTAAAGTCAAAACAATTGCAACTGCCCCAAGGATTTTAAATGAATGGTGTTAAATTATGTATGTAATGCGAATGTTATGATAAGAATGTCAAAATGGTATTTTTTGCAAAATTGTGTGCTAAGTCCAACTGCCGGGTTCAATGCAATTTGTATCAAGTAGGCTCATAGGAAATTTAATAACATGAGCAGAATAACTATGAGCCTTACTTTTTATGGCTACCACCACTTACTCTTCCTGCTTTCTTCTATATTTGTATCACTAGTTTTATTTTGTTTTTCTCATTGTGGATGAAAATTTTTAATGGTGGAAGAAAACAAATATTTGGAAATTATAAACAAGAATGAAAAGTAAGCTCACCCTAAGTCCTAGCATCCACATAATTCTGGATGAGTCCCACTATGGACACTGTTGCTCATTTTCTTCTAAGAACTTTAAAAATGCATTTTGATCATTATATAAGCATAATTTCTTTCTGGATTGATAGTTAAATAACTCCCAAACATAAGCACTTTTTTAGGCATTGGCATCTTATTTGATATATTGGGCTTCAGAAAAGTCATGATGCATTTTTGCATAGAAAAAGGTACATTGTGGACATAAAGAGAAGTGAAAATACTTAACGAGGATAAGACAGTGTGGAATGGGGGGGTGAAGAGAAGAGGATAGAGAAAGATAGCAAGAGAACAAATAGAGAGGCATGACATTAGTGGGACACAGTTATGGTTTATTATTCTCAACTGGATTGGTCTGAGAAGTATTTCATGATGGGTAAAGTCTTTTTACAAGCAAAATGAGAAATAGTGATTGACTGGTTAAAAAAAATAATTGGAATAATAACAATGATCAGGAAAAACAATGAAAAGGTATTGAATGATGAAGTGGGGATTTTAACGTCTCTGTATTGACTGACATGCATGGCATTCCTTTTTGAAAAAGCAATGTAATACACTGTAAAGTTATAGGCGATTCAATGTAATATAAATAAGATTATGATAATAAATTTAAAAAGTTCATCGTGACTTTTCCAACAACCAATATTTTTAGTGATTCTATACTGATATATAATTCACTTTGTTACTTATATAGTGAATATTTAGTTTCTTTCTATTTTTTTCACTATTATTTCAATCAGGCTGCAATGACTGTCTTTGCTCCTTGCCCCTCTGACATCTATCAATAGTTCACAATGCAGTCTGATAGTAACACCCCTCTTGCTCTGCTTCAGTGAGAATATGTTTACTGTATAGTATTCTGTATAGCATTCTTTTTTTACATTAGCTTTCTTTCTTTTGTTTAATGTGATGATATCACTAAAATACTATACTGTTTCTTGTTATCAACATGAGGAGCAGGAAAATATTGCAAGGCTCGTCCATGGCTTAGTATTCCTTTAAAATCCTGTTACTATAGGAAAGTCTCTCAGTAAAAAGTGAATTCTACCAGAATGCACTAATGTAGCCTACTGTTAAAAAAAAAAAAAAAAAAAAAAAAAAAGTGGTTCCTTTATTTACAATATAACACAACAATAATTGAATAGAGGAAAGTTTCATGTAATGCAGATAAAATATTTTACAGATATAGCCTTTTATTAAGGAACAGAGAGAATGTCTTGCAAATTATTGTGAACTGCTGTTTTATGAAATAGTTCAAGTAATTTAATTTTCAGTAGTGTATTGGGGACTATTCATTCTGTTGGAAGTTCAAAATTTCATTATGAACCTGTGAACTATTCTGAGGAAAACATACAAAACAAAGTGACCTTTTCAAGTCTGAAGTTCTATGAAAACATTAAGATTAGGAAGCTACATGTGATTTAAGTACCAAATTGTTTGCTATGGTATTATTAAAAATGAATCAGCTATCTAATCTTGAATTCAATAAAACTTTCGAGTTTTGTTGATTTTATCTCAAACTCCTTGGCATTTACCTTTCTTTTCTACCACTGTCCCTCCTCCTATTGGTCCTAGATTTCTGATTTGGTACTGATCAATATCCCTTATTAGGGAATGATTTTTTGCTTGTAATCTTTTTTGTTTGGCTTAAACTCACGCCGGGCGCGTGTGTGTGCGTGCACAAGATCCCGAGAGGAGAATAGAGGAGAAGGGATTGCGGCATGGCCATTCCCCCTGGGGGGTGATTTCTCACTTTCTGTCTCTCTGTCTCTGTCTGTCTGTCTGGCGAGCACACGCGCCCTATCACAAAAACCTCTCCAAAAAAAATAATAATAATAGATATTGGTTGTTCATGTCTAAATATTGAGCCATGTAATTTTTTATTACACTTTAGAAATCACTTGAAATAGCATTGAATCAAACTTACCTCAGAACTCAAGTAAGTCAAAAAGTTCTAGCAAGTAAAGAATCATGATACAGGGGTCAGCAGGTGACATAGTAGTTAAGGGCACTGAACTCCCGTATGGCCAACCACAGTTCGAGTCCCAGACCTGGTGGCTTGCTTTCTCACTTTCTTTCTTTCTTTGTCCCTCTCTGGTCATATTAAAATAAATAAATAAATACTGTTAAATAAAATCAATTTTTTTTGAGGGGAGAGGTTTTTGCCATAGGGTGTGTGCACTTGCCCAAAAGACAGAGAGAGACAGAGAGACAGAAAGCGAGAAATCACCCCCCAGGGGGGATGGCCACGCTGCAATCCCTTCTCCTCTACTCTCCTCTCGGGATCTTGGGCACACATGCACACATGCCCGGTGTGAGTTTCAGCCACCGGGTCCGGGACTCAAACTATGGTCAACTACATGGGAACCCAGTGACGTAGCCATTACACCATCTACTGGTCCCAAAATAATTCTTTTAAAATATGTTTAAAAATTGAATCATGATACATAACATTTATTAAGTGCTAAATTTGTGCCAGTTACTCCTTAAAGTGAGATACATTCACACACACACACACACACACACACACACACACATTTAAATCCTGCAGTAATTCTATAAAGTAAAATTTAGTATTATTCCCAACTCTGGGCCTAGGAACTGAGATACAGAGATGTAAAGTACTCTGGGTCATGTAGAAGACAAATTGTAGCGTAGGTATTTGAACTTCAGCATTCTGGCTCCAGAGTTTACATTTGTCACCGTTATATATTACTCCTTCAGCATGTTACTGGGGGGAACACAAACCTCAGGAATTATTTCCAGAGACAGAATCTGACATAATCATTGTTAATAACCTATGACTATTTAAACCTTGTAGAACTTGGAAATACCCTAGCTACAGACTGTCTATTGAAATAAGAATATAGCTAGCCCCATAACTGTATTTCACTAATTAAGAAGAAAAATAGAGAGGCAGGACATTCATGGGACACAGAAATGGATTATTATCTGTTGATGATAATATGTATAGTATTCTCAACTGGACTGATGTGCAGTGTATTTATGTTGGGAAAATCCACTTTACAGGCTAAGTGATATATAGGGGTTAAATGTATAAAATAAAATAAAAAAATAAAATATGCTTAGAAAAAAAAGTTTAATGAAAAATATTACCAAAATAATCTATGTTTCTCATCTTTTCAGCAATCTTGACACAGAAGAACTATGTGGTAAGTTTATTTTAATAAGTAACTCTATTACTCATTTTAGAAGGAAAGTGAATATTATCTAGTATATTCTTACGTTACTTATTTTAGAAGGAAAGAGAATATTGTTTAATATATTCTTACATACCTTGAAATTAATGTCATAGATTCTGGAATGAAGAAATAGATAAATTAAAATGTCAGAGGATTTATCTTTATCCTTGAGTTTTGCTCAAGTAGATATTTCACTGCAAAAAGAGTTAGGCCTTATTAATTTGCTCATAGAAGGAAAATTGTTATTGCGATCAGCATGTTAGTTACACAAGAGCAAATTCTCCACCTGTTAGAATATATTTTTAAATTGGTGTTTAATGCAACTTCATTCTTTTCTTCACAAAGTATTGTACAGAACCTTTTATTGCTGTTTTCCAAAGCTGTCTCCTTGAAATGTAAAAATAACTGTGTCCCATACCTGCCTAAACTGTTCTGGAATTTGAAATGTCATTTGCAAAAGAAGTGATTCACTAAGGAAAGATAAATCTTTACAAACAGGCCTGATTTAATGGCCTCTTTATTTGTTTTCTTCAATTTTGTGGCTAGAAACAAAAGTCACAGATTAGAAATATAGAAAGGTAAATATTTCTGAAATTTGTTCTGTCATGAAAAAAGCATGGAGCATTATCAGACTATTCAATTTGGAACAGCCTTGTTTCTGTGAATACTGGAAGGTTTTAAATCTTACGCTTTATGATAAATGCATAATAGTTTTGGTCTTATTGTATATGTAGCTTGAAACATTTTTGATGGTCAGAGGTGAGTTTCTCTGGAAATCCTAATTGAATCTACAAGCACTTTTTGAATATCTTATAGTTCTTACAATTCAAGAGCTTATCAAAACCATTAAAAAGGACATTTTATAATATTCTTGAGTAGTTATCTTCCATTTCATCAAAGTAGTAAAGCAAAATGAAAAGTTGTCACTCTGGGACAAAACATCGTAATACTGGATTTCAAGAGAATAACTGAACCAAACAGGAATGACAACCCAAACCGTGAGCTATCTAGTTTTCCAGTGATCATATAAAACTTCATGCTTTCTGTCTTTGCATGGTGTCTGTCCCAAATTCAGGGGAAAGAATCTGACTAAAGGGACCAGAGGATGACATAATGATTATGTCACTGGACTCCCACATGGCCAAATGTGGTTTGAGTTCCAGACTTGACCTGGCGCCTTGAAACTCATGCTGGGTATGTGTGCATGCATGCCCAAAATCCTAAGAGGAGAATGGAGGAGATGGGATTGTGGCATGACCATCCCCATTGGAGGGTGATTTCTTGCTTTCTGTCTCTCTTGTGAGCACACGTGCCCTATAGCAAAAATCTCATTAAAAAAAAAAAAAAAAAGAATCAGACTAAAACGTTCATGCAGAAGCAAGACACTTTTGTACCAAAGCAGTTCCTGCTTTTGTTAGTTATGAAACACCAGCGAAGAGTAATGGGGAAAACCCTCCCATGCCTTCACACAGTTGGGCATTGGCAACCATACATGGCAATGCTGTGGTCAGTAGCAAGAAGGGCCCATGTGGACTATGCTAAGAAGCTGACGATGAACGGCAATCACCACTAGGTCAAGTTGTGGCCACCCTCATCCATGAGTAGGCAGTCCCTGCTAGTGAATGGGAGAGATGAAGTGAATGAGATTATCTTGATCATTTTACTACATGAAGGTGAGAGACTCATTTGCCTCAAACGTCTAGAATGTCAGTCTGAAGTAATCATTTCCTGAAATCATTCACACAGTCCTTTTTCTTGTCCACTGAACTTTACCTGGGTAAGCATGGCTGAGGAGGAAATGAACTCTTAATAAGGGCTTTTAAGATGAAAGCACTTAGTAGCTTTTTATTTGCCATGTAACTATGTTGCCTGTCTTTAATCCTTAGGAATATTGTGTTCTCTTCTATATTTATTAAATATTCCAAATTTTAAAGTATGACAGCGTATCTTTACTTACTCCACTCAAAAAAAAAAGTTATTTTTAAAAATGTATCCTCTTTCTGTAAGTAGGGAATTAAATTAGGAACCTGTATTCATTAGAAAAGTTTTGACCATTTTTCTCATCATTTTTGTTGGGGAATTAGTATATAAAGCTTTGATTCAAGAATATTGTGCTATATTTTTAAAAACCCAGTGATTGTAGTCCCAATCATAGTGATAATCCTCCCCCTCTCTGTTTAAGAATATGTGTTTGATTTCCAGAGTGTAGTTTCATTTCCTGTTATTTTGTGATTATAAAGTAAATATTTAAGTTGGATTCTAATCAGAGCCAAATGCTTCAGTGCTAGCAAGTGAAATATGTCGATTCACACCCTGCACAAGTTCTCCCTCACGCGTGGGAAGGGCAGAGTTTGATTGACATCGAAACTAGACTTGATGTGCTCTCTCCCAGAAGCCAATTAAAAGTTCCAGATATTTAAAAGTTTTATTCTATTATTTTACTTAACACTTCTGTTTACTCAGTTATGGACTTAGCATTCAAAATCAGTTAAAACACTGACTTTTAAAAAATGCTTTTATATTTTTAATCATGCAAGCAGTACTTAGCTGCTATTTCTTTAAATTTAACAGCACAGAATTAGGTAGGTGTATGTATTTCATTTATTAAAATGTCAAAGTCTCTTTCTCTTCCACCTGTCTTTTCTTAACCTCCATGTTAACTATTTCAATATATCTTTCCAGATATTTTTATTCATCTAGTGACATTGATATATATGCATATATATTGTTTTACCAAGAGTAGATCATGTACAGTAGATCTATACAGTAGACTTATACAGTATAGTCAGTGCAATTCCACACTGGTCAACCTATTTTTTTTTTTTTTTGGAGAGTTTTGTTTTGTTTGCTATAGGGTGCGTGTGCTCGCCAGATAGGCAGAGACAGACAGAGAGCTAGAAAGAGAAAAATCACCCCCCAGGGGGCATGGCCAGGCCGCAATCCCTTCTCCTCCATTCTCCTCTTGGGATCGTGGGCACGCACGCACATGCGCCCGGCGTGAGTTTAAGCCACCGGGTCTGGGACTCAAACCACGGTCGGCTACATGGGAGTTCAGCGACATAGCCAGTACGCTAACTGCTGGTTCCTCAACCTAATTTTATTAACAAGCTTGCATAATGTCCCATTTACCTTAAGTTTTTCAACCAAGTTCCTTCCGATGGATTTTCAGGTTGCCACCAACTTTCCATTGGGAAAAGCAACTTTGAAGTAAATGTTCTCATATGTATTAGTTTTTGTACCATTGCACAAGTATGGTAGATTCCTAAAGGGTCATTTGTTGGTCAAGGTTTCTAATCTGCACACCCACCAGCAGTTTATAAGAGTGACAAGATTATTCCCTCTTCACATAGACTTGTGAAGGCCCTCCTCAAGACAAGTTTTTTTTTTTTTTAACATATTTACTGCTATTCGTCAGTGCTTCACTCAGTTTTAATTAGGCAATTGTGTCTGACCTGTCAAGCTTTGGTTTTGTATTTTTGCCACCTTCTGCTCTGATCTAAAAGAATTAGGAACATAATCATTATTTTCCTGACCCTACCCAGTTCATGACTATTTTCATAACCTTATTCATTTTTACTAAACTCCTTTGCAAATCTTGAACTTGGCAGCTAAGAATTTTGAGATATTTATAGATGGGTGAAGAATAATTACAATGAAAGTTCACGTAGTTAGAGTGATCTAAAAGCATATCCGTAAGGAAGCTGCGAGAGCAAGGTTGAATATATTTAATAGTGTAATTACTCATCTATTGTAGTTGGTTGCTACCTACCAAATATTAAACTGTTTTGAAAGTTAAGTCTATAAATAAGATCATAAAACCTGAGGGTACAGGAAACTCCCAGAATAAAAGCTTGTTAGCTGCACGCTTATTAGGTCCCTTTCTGAAGCTGTGCTCTAGGCACCCCTGGTCAGACTGTAGAGCAGTGCAAGCCTGCATCAAAACACCTGTGCCAGCAAGTCAGTGTTAAATAGCCAGAAGACTCCATGTCCTTCACCAGGTTGTTAGAGCCATGGCCACCTGGCATGTGTCCCTTGGTGACTGAGTTATAAAGCAGTTTAAGTGACTTTGATCTGTACCTTTTTCAAATAACCCGTATTTCTGGATTTCAGACTAATGCCCCCATTCAGATGGTAGGGATTTTAAGTCTCTCATCTCAGCTAGTTTCTCTTTTATGTAATCTACTGCTCGAGAAGTTCTAGCAAGTCACATACTGTGGGATTCATCTCAAATCCTGATAATGCTTTCTGAGAACAGTTCTCAGTGACACCTTCATCATAGCTTTGGGTCTTTTGGTTCTCACTGGGAATTTTTAGGCCAGACCTGAAAACACAACTTGGAGGATTAAAATGCAGAAAAGAAGCAAAGCATGACAAAAACTATAGTCTTGCAATGCAAAACCACTGGTTAAGTACATAGGGAAGGGACAAACTAATTTCTTGTTCATGTTTTATTAGAGAAGAGGCCTAAATGCCGTCCATAAGATGCTTTGCCTTCTGACAGACAACTTGTTTGTACACTTATTTACAAATTGTGCTCTACACCTTCATTTTACCCAATGCCCAGACTTTTTACCTTTCAAAATTTCTTACGTAAACTGAAGAGGATAAGATTTCTCTCTAATGCCATGATTTAAGGGCATAACATATCTGTCCAGTTCACACTAGCATTGTGATTCAGATGAGAAACATGAGTCACAATTATGGGAGTAAAGCATTAGTCCAAACCCAGCTACTTCTAAGCAATCACTGACCTTCCCTCCTTCCTTGCCTTAACTTGAAGTATGCAGATAT